TTTTAATTATATTAATTCTAAATTTCTATTAAGTTTTGTTGATTAATTAATTTTAAACTTTTAAGTGATTTTTTTAATTTTCCCCAATTTTTCTAAATTTTTGGGTTTTTTTTTTTTTTAAGTGACACCCAAATCAGTCTGGGCATTCGCTAGGCTCAACGGCCAGCGCCTTTAGTGATACTGATTGTAAGAATGTTTTACAAAGTCAACAAAAATTTCCAGTTATGATTAATTGTCTTTGTCTATACTAAAAAAACCTTAACATGAGCTATATAATTCTAATGCTTGACACTTGGAGAGATAGGTTCGAATCTCCTCAACGGCTCGACCCTACTAATATCAAAATCATATTTGATGCTTACTATATAAAAATCTATAAATAGCAAAAGAAAGTCTAATGCGACATGGCACAAATGCAAAATCCCGACAAACTTAGTGGAAACTTTGAGAGATGAGAGAATCCTTTGCTCTTTCAATGATTCTGTCTTTGAGCATCAAAAAATGTTTTAATTTCTGACCATTCAGGTTCTGGTGGAGATTCAACAAGGCCTTGTTCACATCTGTACGGAGACTAACAGACGTACCGGCATAGACGGTCTTGCCTTTGAGCTGAATTTGGTGCGTTATGGCATTCTTCAAGGAGCTGAATTGCTTAGCAATGGCTTTGATATCAAATGATATGTAAGGAATGGCATTTCCGAGCCCAGAAACACCTTTCAATGATGCAACAACTGACTGCATTTTTTTTGGCAATATGGCTGGTATCTCCTACTTATCTAACCAGGATGAACAAATACACAGAAACACGATGCAAAAGGGTGGCCAACAAAAAAGGTACAGTAATGTGATTCAATATGATAATTAAGATGATTCATCTTTTCTCCATCTCTGCAAATAAATCAAATATCATACTCCCAGACATTGACAGAACAATCAAATCAAATCATCAGCTATTTGCAGGGTTGCTTGAACAGGAAGTTGTTCTTGGTTGGTTTCAATGCCAACACTAAGCCTGTTTCTTCTGTTTAGCTGTGGCACATGGAAGGATTTTATATGTTTCCTTCCATGGATGAAGCTCTAGGTAATTAGATTTTGGTTTTCAGGGAGAGAAATAAAGAGAAAGTGCATCTTTACCAAGTGGTATAGAGCTCCAGTGCACATCAACACAATTTCATGAGGCTTAAAGCACTAAATATTTACATAAGTTTGTAAGTAGAATGCCTCCTACCCTGACATCCATACTATTATATGTATATATATTTCAAACTAACACTAAGAAATTTACAAAGAATTACCTCATTAGGATTAATTAGTAGACCCTTACTAACTAAAGAAGTAAGAAAAAGTTAAGCAATTGATTCCATCCCTTTATCACCTTCATGAACAACCCCCTTTCTCTCTACGTTTTTGTAGGTATATTTCGAAGCCAAGAACACGTAAACACACAAATTCAGTGCACTCAAGGCAGCTAAAAACCAGAAGAAATTATCCAAACGGCTCATGTTCACATCCTTCCCAATCCAGCTTTTACCAGTAACCCTTTCTGTGATATGATCCACAACAATGATTAGGAAGCTGCTCAAGAAGCTCCCAGCTCCAATCACACTGAGGTAGAAGGCAATCCCCAAGCTCCTCATGGAGTCAGGAACTTGGTCATAAAAGTACTCCTGCAATCCAACCAGAGTAAACCCATCTGCTATGCCAAGGATTAGGTTCTGTGGAGCTAGCCAAAACAAACTCATGGAGATTGGCCCTTTTCTTCCTCCAATAATCTCCTCCTCCACGACAGTTTTTAGCCTCTTCATTTCAACCAGGGCTGCAACAACCATAGATAGAATGGAGAAGATCATTCCAAGACCAATTCTTTGGAGGATTTTGATGCCCCTTTCATTACCTGTAACTTTCCTCAGAAATGGGACCAAAAACTTCTCATATATGGTGACAGAAACTATCATTGCAATGGCGTTAACAGCGAAAACAGAGGCGGCCGGCATGTCCAAGTTTTTGCCGATTCTTCGATTCATCGTAGCACCCTGTTTGACGCAAAAGGAAGGTCCTTGCACTGTCCATACTCCAAACATTAATGAAGAAAGCCAAATGGGGATCATGCCCAAAACAAGCTTCAGTTCCTCAACTTTTGTCACCGTTGCCAGTCTCCATGGATTCCTAGTCTTCTGAATCGATGTGTTTTCCTTGTCTTCGATTATTGCAGCTTTGTCTAGAAATCTGGGGAGGAAATTAAATTCATTAGAATCATTTTTAAAGTGATCAGACACAATTTGGGATTATTGTACAATTTGATCACCACATGTTTGATTCAATTCCTCACCGAAGCCTACTGGTATGACACAAAAACCTTCCTTGGGACTTTTCTGATCGTGGGACTTCATATAAGAGAGATGGATTGGAAGGGTAATGCAATTTTCTCTTCCTTATAGCTGAAACCAAAACCTGTAACAAAGGAGTTAAAGGACTCCCTTCTGGTAATCTGTAACGGTAATAAGGCTTCCCCACATAGAAGATCAAGATTGTAATGGCCATGGTGATGGTGAGGATAAGGGTTGCAGCACCCCAATTCACTTTTTCCTGAACGTAGACAATGACTGTGACCCCAAGCAACAGCCCCCAGCTAAGTGAAAAATTCCACCAGTTGAAGTAAGACATTTTCTTCTTCCTTTCTTCCAAGTGATCATCATCAAATTGATCAGCCCCAAAGCTTTCAAGGCAGGGCTTGAATCCTCCGGTTCCAAGAGAGATACAATATATTGCAATAAAGAACACAACTTCATGTATTGTTCTCGGGTGTTGAGTGTGTTGACACATGCCTGCATGACATGGCTTTAAGCTTGGGATGAACTGGGACATTGTGAAGAGGCTCAGACCCTGGTTTTCACCAATCAAAATACAAATATTCAGTTTCTTCTCATAAAATCAAGAAAGAGTGGGTTTGAATTCTTATACAGAAAATCCTCAATGGTAGATTACCATGAGATAAATGAGGGATGAGAGCAAGATCATGGCAAAGCGACCAGCGTAGGCATCTGCTAAGAAACCTCCAGCTAGAGGCATTGTTGTTGTGACTCCTGTCCAGTAGTTGACATTTTTTACAGCTGTTCGGAGGTCTTGGTGAAGCACAATGGTAAGGTATGTAATGAGATTTGATGCTATTCCAAAGAAGGTTAGCCGCTCACTAAATTCCATTGCTGCCAGTAGACAATAAGTTATGACTACAATTCTATGATTGAATATATTAAGAGTATATTTAATAATTTACTTGATTTGAATGTGGAATATTATTTTGCTTTTCCTCTTGATAATCATTATTGTTTCCCACACAAGTCAAGGTATGGGACTACGATTTAATCTTCAGCTAGCTTCCAGTTGCACCATTCCTTAGTTTTAAGGCAACCTTATAAGACATACTAGTTTGGTTGAGCAGCACTGTATTGTAGCTTTCTTTATATCAAAGTGCAAAGAACTCTCTAACATTAAAATCATTGGTTAACTGTGTCCATGCAGATGCTTATCACCTCCGAGGATCAGACAGAAAAAGAGTCATCAGACAGACAAGTTAAGACGCTGAAGCCATCACAGAGAAGATAACTTATAATTCAAAACAGCGTTTCCATTTTGGGAAAGATGACATCGGTAAATACTGGTTAAGATAACAACAGAAGTATGTTTATGTCCTCTTCTTCACCTCATCTTGTTCAAAGTTAATAAGTAATCATGATCACTACCATTACCTTTGTTATTGCAATTTGGTTCAAGCTAAACTAACATTTACTGGAGGCTGATGTCTGACTAATCAGAATTTTAGGAGGATCTGTTCTTTAACATGGATGGCATTAGAATCCATATTTGGTTTTTGAAATTCTACAGTTCTGTCATCACGAAATAATTAGGAGGAAAAAGGCCAAATTAAATGCTAAAGTACATGTTAAAGAGCAAATATTTTTTTTATATATTGTACAAGGCAGTGAGGGTGTTGTGATCTGTGACTGTATCAAAGATGGAGGGAGACAAATATATATATATATATATATATATATACTCACCGATAACAAAGAGAGAAGCTTTCCATACACCAGTTGAAGCTCTGAGAGGAACCCTTCCTTCATGATCCACAGATGAATCATGAACCCATCTTTTTTCATTGCCTGTAGATGGATGCATGTCCTGCTCCATTTTTCACTTTGGCAGGCAAATGGTCACACCCAGGCTGAGAAGCTAGAAAGAATAAGAAGGGAGAATTTTTACAGGGAGAACTCCGTTGGTAACAGGTGGGAAGGCTTTCTTTTGTGGCTTTTATAGCTGAAGGTTTGGTTGAGAATGATTACTGGCAGCTATATAGGCCATTTATGTTAGAGAGAATTAATCTAATTGCAGGTTTGTATAAAGAGCAACAAATATTGTCGCTGTTCCTTCTTTTCCTTTCTAATGAGATAGTATATTGCTCAGATGTCTTAGCCTTGGTATGACAGTCTTTTATTTATTTATTTATTTTTTTGTGAGTCACATAATGGGAGGTAATCTTTTCTCATTTCTTTACTCACTCCACCTGCCCATCATGACTCAAACCCAGGGTCTCTTACTTCCATTAGAAGAAGTTTCCATTAAGCCACTTAAGTCGTGACACCTTGATTTAACAGTTAGATCCAAAAGATAGAGATAAATAGGTAACTAATACTGCATATAGTCTCCCAATATGCTCTTTTCCACCTTCCACCACATACCAAAACCAAAAAGTCATCCCTACATGCTTAGTATTTGGTGGGCCAGGGAATAGCATTCATTGTGATTGAATAGTTCCAATTCCTAAAAATATGGCAACACTTTAAGAGGCAAATTCTCACGGTATTTATCAGCTTTTCTGATATGAAATGAAAAGATTATATTCCAATAGCCTAGTTGCTTTTCTGAGTGCTTTTTCTCTAACTCTAATTTTCTTTTGCTAGTGCCATGCTAATCTGAAACAAGGTTCCCAGATTTAAATTAGAAAACTCAAAGCTCTATGTCGATCCGTTGTTGGTGTTGAAGGGCCAGATTCCTGTCACTATCAGCATACCCTTTAACTTTGATGGTCTCCAGCTCATGTCAATCATTGAGTTAATCCATTCTCTGATATTGGATTGGTAAATTTTATCACTTTTTCATAATCAATCGTGATTATTGTTTGCTATGTCAAATATGTCAACAGCTTCGGCCTTTTGTGAAAGAAAACAAAGAAAGAGGTTCTGAAGTGAATAGAATAATCTTCACTATCAATGGCTGCAATTATTTGTTCAAGTTCGTATGTTAAGAATTCTCTTTCTCTTCCGCATGAATTCTATGCCTTTTCCGTTCAAGTTTTATCTTTATAATTCTTTTTAATTTTCCATTCCACATGAAATCTATGCCAATCTAGTGGTATAGATTCAAAGTGGTGTGCTGTGAAGAAAGCACATATTATGTTGCCGGGCCATGTGTTGTGTTATGCATTAAATATTAGATTTCAATCTAAGCTTAACACAAAGTTAGATAAAGCATATGATATTGCTTCTTGCTGCTCTTGAGAGGAATCATACAAGAAAAGATATTCCTTAGGAAATAAGGCATTCCTTTTTCATTTTCTTAGCATCTGATGCCATGCAAGAAAAAAAATCTAATTATACAGGAGTGATTAAGATGCCACTAATGCTAAGGCTCATTTAATGTTTTGTAATCATCAACATCAGGTCAAGAATCATCATTCAACAAAATCTCGAACTAATCGGATTAGTTTACAATGTGAAGAATCAGCAAAAAGACTATTACAAATTTGAGAGAATGAACATAAACATCGTCAAGAAAAGAAATTTAGAATGGGAAATACTCCACCTCACAATCCCTCTTTGTATCTATCCCCTCCTTTACAGAAGAAAAAAAAAAAGAAAAAAAAAGGGTATTTCCCATCATTTTACATGTTAATCTATATATGGCTGTTATGAAGCAAAAATTACCAGCTTTCTGAATGGCCTTCAGGTGATTACAGGTACTATAATACAGAGTATTTTCATTTCTGTTCTCAATTTAGCACATTGCTAGGGATGGTAACATTTGCCTTACCATTTTTACAAAACAATATCTTCTAGTTTGAACAACATGCTTTCTTGGGGACTTTACCAGACACCTCGGCAACATTAATGGTGGTGCCTTGAGGGAGGCCTGTGCTGGAAGCTGCCTCCTGCGTGGCCAGTGCCTTTTTCCTTATTATGTGGTAAATATCTAACAAAATGGTCTGGAATGCCTTCTCAATATTGAAGGCTTCCAAAGCTGATATCTCAAGGAAAGAAAGGGATTCCCTCTCGGCCAGCATTTGTGCATCATCTGTTGCCACTGCCCTGAGATGGTTCAAATCAGACTTGTTTCCAGCCATCATAATGACAATGTTTGAATCTGCATGGTCCCTTAGTTCACGCAGCCACCTCTGGACATTGTCAAAGGTTTGCCTCTTGGTTATGTCATAAACGAGAAGGGCCCCAACCGCACCTCTGTAGTAAGCACTGGTGATGGCACGATACCTCTCTTGACCTGCTGTGTCCCATATCTGAGCCTTAACTGTCTTCCCTTCTACCTGCATTAATTCAATGAAAAATATATATGCTGGTAAACTTATCACAATGAAGAAAAAGAAAGAAAATTGTTCAGAAAGGAACCAACCTGAAGGGTCCTGGTAGCAAATTCGACACCTATGGTTGACTTGGATTCCAAGCAAAACTCATTTCTTGTAAACCTTGAAAGAATGTTGGATTTGCCCACACCCGAATCACCAATCAGTACAATCTTGAAGAGATAATCATACTCCTGATCCACTTTATACGCCATTTGTTCTAAGTTTTTGTTGTCCTAAACCTGGCAAATTAAGATGCAATCACACAGCACACACAAAAAGGAATTAACTTTACCATTTCAACGGCTAATTTTGTTTCCAAAGAACGGGGAGGGAACTTTTTTTTTTTTTTTTCTTGAGACAAAAAGACTAACCATAGGGGATTGAGTAGGATTGATGAAGAACAAAGATTAATTTCCAGAGTCAAGAAAATTGTATTTTGCTTTTCTGAAAATTGTTGCAGAGGAGGTTTGAGGAGAATAGAGAAGAGTGCATTTCGCAGCAAAAGAGAGAAACCAGGGTGACCAACGGAAATGCAATTAAAACGGCTTCTCATTCATACATTTTCCTTTTCCTCCTAAATTAGTAAAATGTAGTAAAAAAGAAAAAAGAAAAAAAAGAAAAACTTAGAATTTAAAACTATAGGAAGTTTGGCCCCAAAAAACAGTTGTACGAAGTTGCAAGGAAACATGTTGTTGGGTAAATTAGCCCTGCGATGAGAACAGAGTAATGTCTGCTGGCTTTGTGCTGTTTCGTTTGTTGACGGTAATATCACTATCGTTGTGAGAAATTGTAAAATGGACAATCTTATTATTATTTATTATTATTATTTTTTTAAAGGGCAATGTATGATATGTAAGGTTATAAATTTATAATTATTATATAATATTAAATAAGAATGATATTATATTAATTATTAAATAAATAGATATATATATATATAATATTACAAATAGATCATTAGATAAAAAAGATATATTATGAGATTTGATACAAATAAAGATATAACATTTAAAAAAATTTTAATTAAAAATACGATATCTTTTTACTAATTAAAGTTATCATATTTTAAAATTTTATAATTAAAAATATAACTTTTATGATTTTTCTTTAAAAAAAAGATTAAGTGGATGTGTAGCATTATATTTTCGATTAAAAACTTTTAAAAAGTTGTAGTCTTAATTAGTAAAATTGCATAACTTATATGTATCACTGGAAACTTTTGAAAAATGATAGTATTGATTAATAAAGAAAACATATCATATTTTTAATTAGAAAACTTTTGAAAAGTTATTTTTTTATTTAGACTAAATCTTAACTCATTATGTTATAAATTTACTATATAATATAACATTATAATTATAACATTTTTTTTTTATAGAAGTAAAACATTTTCAATTGTATAACTCTCGTGTATATTAGTACGGAAAAGGAAGGAGGGCATGGGTTCAAGTCAAAGATATGCCATACAATCTAATTTCCCAAAAAAGGAAAAGAAAAGAAAAAGAGAGAAACAGATATTTGAGGAAGGAAAGTTAAATCTTTAATTTAGTCCCTAAACTATTATATAAATGTTTGATGTGGTCCTTAAATTAAAAAATATCCCTTATTTGGTTCGTAAATTATTGTATGAATCCTTAATTTTGTCTCTGCTATTTATCAATTTGTCATAAGTTGGTCTTTTTGTACAATAAATAAATGATGTATCTTATTATTAACGTGACATATGACTATTAAGTAATTATTTTTTGCTGTTAAGTAATGGGTACATCAGTTGTTTTTTATATGGGATGATCAATTTGAAACTAAATTAGTTAACAGTAGGGATCAAGTCAAGGGTCCGTTCAATAATTTAGGAATTAAATTAGAGATTTTTTTTAGTTTAGGAACTAAATTGGAGGTTTGTACAATAATTCAAGACCAAATTGAAAGTTTAACCAATAAGGAAATTTCCAATAGCTTATAAGGAAAGTATAGTAATGTCTGTACCAAAAAAGAGGAAAGTATATTAATGTCTAACGGCTATACATACAGTAATGCTAGATTGTAATCAGAAGGAAAATATCTCTATTACCTTTGGTGTCGAAGAACAAAGCATATAAAGCCTCCGTTTCGCACAATGCTAATCCAAATTTCAGAACCAACTTCTCCAATGGCGTCTATATACACACACACCTCCCCTTCGATCTGTTTTACCTATATTACCCTTATTTGCAGTCTGCTCCTTGCCGTTGCCGTTGCCTCTAATGAACCTGAACGAAAAGTACGTATTTAGCCACATACTACCACTTAGAATCAAGTTTTCATAAGTCCCCAATCTCCCCAATGTGGCATTTCAGTGCCTAAAAACTTCAATCTTCATGTTTGAATTTTAGAATATGTAGAAGGGGTTAGGTAAATTTTAGAAGTTAAATATTTCAATTTTGAATCTTGAGAGGAGTAAAAAAGATATGAAGAATTTCAGTGATGAATTTAAGTTTTCATATTAGAGATATCAAATTTTAATTTTAAGGTAAATAAAAAGAGATTTGAGGAAACTATAAGCATTTTAAATATTAAAAAAAGATTTTGGGTACTTGGGTTTAAGCACGCCCCATGGGCCTCCATAACCGGAAAAAGGAAAATTAATTCCATTTTGATTTTTGCAGGTTTATATTGTATACATGGGAGACCGCCCGAAGGGTGAATTCTCTGCTACAACCCTTCACAGTAGTATTCTACTAGAAGTCGGCGGCAGGTTAATTCTGAACAAGAAGAAACAATTTTAGAACATAATTCGAAGAATCTAATGTATGATTATGTTTAGAATGGGAGTTTTTACGAAGATCCTAACTTTTTGTGTTATGCATTTGCAGTGTTGCTGCAAAATCTTTGCTCCACAGCTACCGAAGGAGCTTCAATGGTTTTGTTGCCAACTTGACTGAGGATGAAGCACGGAAATTGGCCGGTAAGAAATACCCTCAGAAAAAAAAAAAAAAAAATTTATGTGTTCCTGATGCAAATGGTTGGTTATTATTATTATTATTATTATTTTAACAGAGAGGGAAAACGTTGTGTCTGTGTTCCCTAATGAAAAGATGCAACTTCAAACGACAAGGTCATGGGATTTCATGGGTTTCTCCAAACAAGCTAAAAGGTCGAGTCTTGAGGGCGACATCATTGTGGGTATGTTTGATACAGGGATTTGGCCGAATTCAAAAAGTTTCAGTGATGAAAATTTCGGTCCACCTCCAAAAAAATGGAAGGGAAAATGCCAAGAATCAGCCAATTTCACCTGTAACAAGTAAATTCAATGGAACATTAGCAAATCCAGATTCAATTGTTTGTGGGTTTTGATTATTTTGAAAAATTGTTTCGATTTATTTGCAGTAAGATAATCGGAGCTCGATACTATCGGGCTGATGGCGTAATCGGTGAACCTGATGTTGCTTCGCCATTGGATACGGCAGGTCACGGGTCGCACACAGCCTCCACCGCAGCCGGTGACATTGTTCAAGGCGCGAGCATGTTGGGGCTTGCCTTAGGGGACGCTCGAGGAGGGGTTCCGGCAGCCCGCCTTGCTGTGTATAAGATATGTTGGAATGATGGATGCCCCAACGCTGACCTTCTTGCGGCATTTGACGATGCAATCGCCGATGGTGTTGACATAATCTCTCTTTCAGTAGGGGGTTCCACTCCTTTAAATTACTTCGAGGATCCGATCGCAATTGGATCATTTCACGCCATGAAAAATGGTATACTGACATCAAATGCTGCTGGTAACTATGGTCCTTCATCTGAATCAACTGCGAGTGTTGCTCCTTGGATTCTTTCCGTGGCTGCCAGTACCTTAGATAGAAAATTTGTGACTAAAGTACAGTTGGGTAATGGAAAGATTTATGAGGTGAACATCATGCAATATATCTCCATATAGATTTCTATACTAACACATACACTAAAACAATGGTTTAAGATTTCCGTTTTCTGTTTGTAGGGTATCTCTATCAATACCTTTGATCCCAAGAAAGACACTTATCCTTTCATCCACGGTGGAGATGCTGGTCTTAAAGGAACATATTCTAGGTAATAGTTGTAATAGATTATAATTTTGTTGAAAGTAGATTCAGTTGTTTAAATTATGTTGTTGTGATGAGGCAAAAATCATTGGGAGGAATGCAGTAATTGTGCTTTTGGCACCTTGGACGAGACGAAGGTAAAGGGGAAAATTGTTATGTGCGATGCCTTCATTGATGGGACAGGGCCGGCAGAGGCTGGAGCTGCTGGTGTAGTAATGCAAAATGGAGGTTTCATTGATGTAGCCTTTAACTTCCTGTTGCCAGCTTCCTATATGAGCAATGGAAGTGAAGTTTTCAACTACTTGAAATCGACAAAGTATTTTCCTTGAATTCTCCTTGTGTAATTGATTTGTGTCTTGAACGTTTTAGCTTGTGTCACATTTACTTGGTTGTAATATGCAATTATTTCAACAGAAATCCAACGGCAAAGATATTCAAGAGTAATACAGAAAAGGATAGCTTCGCCCCCACTATAGTTTCATTTTCATCAAGGGGACCAAATGCTATAACCCCTGATATTCTTAAGGTAATGAAATGAAACCTATTTGATTTTCTGTTTTATGCCCAAATCTCAGAATGAACTCATGAATCGTTTGAATTCATGCAGCCTGATGTTACAGCTCCTGGAGTTGACATTTTAGCAGCATGGTCAGGAGCTGCCACCGTGACAGGCTTTCCAATGGACAATAGGGTAGTTCAATATAGCATAGACTATGGTACGTCCATGGCCTGCCCACATGCATCCGGTGCAACAGCATATATCAAGTCATTTTATCCAAAATGGTCTCCTGCTGCCATTAAGTCTGCTCTAATGACCACAGGTTCTTGTTTTCTATTTCTTGTGTTTGTGCGCTTGTTTTCAAATTAATTAAATCTACATGCGGTAATAGTGTGACTAATGCAATGTGTTGTTCAGCATTTCCCTTGAATCATGAGCGCCATCCAGACCTTGAGTTTTCATATGGGGCTGGTCACATAAATCCAGCCAACGCCACCAACCCTGGTCTAGTGTATGATGCTGGAGAGATTGATTACATTAATTTTCTGTGTGGACAAGGATACAGTAGCACACAACTAAAACTTGTTACCGGAAATGATACAAGCTGTTCCAAAGCAACAAATGCGACAGTTTGGGATCTTAACTACCCTTCTTTCACCCTGTCTGCTTCGGATGTTGGAAAAACCACAACTAGAGTCTTTCACAGGACGGTAACAAATGTAGGATCAGCAGTGTCCACTTATAAGGCAGTGGTGAATGCTCCAAAAGGGCTTACAATCCAAGTTAAACCCAGCACCCTTTCTTTCACATCCCTTGGGGAAAAGAAATCCTTTGTGGTGACTGCTACTGTAACAGTTTCGGAAACTCTTACTGTTATATCTGGTTCTTTGACTTGGGATGATGGGGTGCATCGAGTGACAAGCCCTGTTGTTGGACATCGTCCTTCTCATTTCGAACATTAATTTATTGAAATAATATGCTGGTGAACTCACCAAATTTCGTTTTTTCATTGGTCATATGAATGAAATTTTTTTTTGCACGGTCTTAGCTATTTTATATAGCATATGACTATATTAATAATTTAGTTTTTATTATTTTTTCTTTTCTCATCTTTGTTCACCCTATATTTCTTTCTTAATCTCCCTTGCATCCATCACTATATGTTTTTTACCCAATTTTTCTTTGTATCTATTAAAATTTTTTTAGTATCAAATATTTTAAAAAATTAGTGTTTATCCGTCTTACCTCATATTAAGAGAAAAATTATTTTAAAACTACGTAGTTTTAATAAAATACTATAAGGAATGACAAAAAATATTTTAATTCATACTTTAAAAATATAGTATTTTAGTTCTTTTCGATAAAAATTTATTGAAACGACTTAGTTTTTGAATGATGATAAGGCGGATAAACACTATTCTTATATTTTAAAATCATAAATATTTTATTAATAGAGATTA